CCATCTAAACTGCTCTCTTTGTATCTCTACTACAGAAATGAATACTCCCTCTGCCAACATTGTGAGACCTTTTTGAAAATCATAGGAAAAAATTATGAGTGAGAATACAGAAATGGAACAAACTTCTCTTTATGCTGTAAACTGCATTGGAAATGAGTGAGCTTCCTACTGTTCAGGACATGTATATGAACAGTAGGAGACAATGAATGCTCTGAGGACTGTTTCTAACTGCCTACATTGCAATCAGAAGCTAGAATTATGTTTGCCTTCTTAAAAAAGGTTCAGTCTGTTTTGAGGGCTTCTAACAGATTTTTTTTTAATTTTAGTTTCCCCTCTGATATATGATGTCCTCATCCACCTTTTAAGATCACTTGTAGCTACCTTTTCCTATGCTGCTTGGAGCCTGAGATGCTGAAATTACTTGCTAGTCTATTTGGAGTAGTGAGCTTCCCCCTTGTTGAGCACAGGAGGGTGGCTTTGGGTTATGACACTTTTTTAACCTAATGGGTAATATTTTGCACAAGACTACTCTTACAGTGGGAGTCCTTTGTACAGAGCAAAGGTCAAGAAAGGGGGGAAATGGGCATGTACATGGGGTAATGACAGTCTATGAAACAGGTACAACCCATCAAAAGTTCACTGCGTAACCAGTAGTACTTAAAATAGCTGTATGGCAAGGCCCAAAAGCAAAGACATGCAAAATTCAAGTGTTATGACCCAAAGGTTCTATTTGTGACTGTGATATGATAATATTTAAGCTAATCCAAGCATCACAAATCTTGAGTCATGGTACCCAGAAGTCTTAATTTTTTTTTTTAAAGGTAATTAGTAGGAGTGTGCAAAACAGGCCATATTAGATTCAAAATCAGATTCAGCCCAAACTGAGGACAGTGATTCGATTTGATAATTCGGATCACTGTCCCAATTTGATTCGCCCAAATCTGAAACTGGAGATTCGATGCTGATTCAGAGAATCAGTGATTCAGCCATACAGCTTTAAATGTTTTTTCTACATAGCTCGAGGTACCAGGCAGGGCTTGTGAATACTGCAATGGTGGGGTGGATGGAGCATCCCACAGGAGTGTAGCCCTCCCCCCTCCCCCATGCTCAGTGGTAAACCTGGAAGTGGACCATAAGTACTTGGCAATTGGCTGTGGGGGGATTCTGGGTGCCCCCTCAGATCCAGGTGGCACAAGTCACCGAGCTGGGGGGCAGATGGGGGTGGACTCAGAAGTGGACTGGAAGTGCTTCTGCTCCACTTCTGGGTCAACCACCAAACACAATGGGGACCCCTCCCCACCCCATGCTCCTGTGAGATGCTCCATCCGCCCCAGCATCTCAGTGTTCACAAGCCACCTGGTACCTTGAGGTATGCAGAAGAAACATTTAAAGTTGTGTCTATGTCTGAATCATCAAATCTTTCCAAATCTCTAAATCTATTTGGAGGGTTCCAATTTGATTCGGAGAGATTAAAGAGTCTCCTGATTCAATTTGGGTTTGGAGTTTCGACCCAATTCAGCAACTGAATCGAATCAGTAACTAAAGCTTCGCACAGCCCTAGTAATAATTTTTTATTTGGTTTTCTTTTTATTCTCCCAAAGGCATGGCAAACATTTTTTGGCACTAGCAGGGCCAATGGCCAACATAGTGGTAGGAATATAAGTGGCTATCAGTTTTGTGCCCCCACTAAGTCAATGCCCTGGGCCGGTGCCCCATTCTGACACTCCTAGTTACACCAGTCACTGCAGTATTCACTTTCTGGTTTCTTAATGTATAGAGCAGCATTTATCTCTCACTTTTATTATTTTCCCCCATAGACATGACTGTTAAAAAGTGAGGGCCATTTTTTTGTTTGTTTGACAAAAACTGGCAGACGCCTTGGGTATATGTCTGGTTGAAGCAACTGGAGTTTTAAGAAAAATGCCAGTATTGCAAGACATGTAATGAAATTGTGAGAGTTAGTGATGGTGATTTTTTGGATGTCTTAGCACTTCTCAAAATTTAGGTGTATTAAATGTATAACCTACATTTTAATAAAAGGTATTAGTGAATAAGGGTGAACACACTAATGAAATTCACTTACTGTACAGCAGTGGTGATCTTGCCTGAAACAGATCCTGGACATCACGTAGCCCTGAGGTTTAGACCTTGAATGAAATTCATTTTGAGACTAGCACAAGTCCTATGTGGCAAAAATCCTATTAGCCCTATTTGGAGGATTTAAGTGGTTCAAAGAGGTCTGTTATTAACCTGACTCAGAGGGACACATTTCATACCTTGTGTGAGCTTCCTGCACAGAGATAAAGATAAATCTATCCATAAAAACTATTAAGGTAAGCTAGATCAATAAGTCCTTTTACAAGGAAAAAGGCAGCAACCCAAGGGGAAAAAAGAATGCTAATTTCTTCATACACTAAGGATCCTGTTCTCTTCTAGTTTGATTTTCTTAGTGAGATAGCTGTTGTCATTAACCCTTCATTACACACATTACTGATGGGGTTATGAAGTGATTTTTAAAAAGTGTGTATGAAATAATCAGCAAATTTAATAAGTTAAAAGTCTTAAAGAATAAAAATATACAGCTCATGAGTGAAACCAGCAATTTATCCTGACCTATTTTTATAGAAAAAGTTGGTTGTTTAACATTTCTCACAAGTATTTTTTTTAAATTCACCGCAGACATGAAAAGAAGACGACTGAGTAAAGTAGATGCTGACATTCCCTGCTTCCTCACTAGAAATGGACTCACAGGCCACATCCACATGAGGATAGACGTTTGGTTCCCAAGGACAACTAGCAGCAGGACACCTTGTGCCACTGCTAGTTGGCGCATGACAAATTGCCCTGGGTGAGGAAGGGGAGGCTGGGGCCAGCACTGGGCTGGCCCCAGCAGCCTTACTTGGGGTGCTGGGAGCTTTCTGGGGCGGCAGCAGTGGTGATCCTGCCTCGCCAGAGCCTGCCCAGCAGTTGGAGTGTGACTAGCCGGCCTGACTCCAGTTTTGAGCAGTGCACGCTAGCCCCATGTGCGCCCCTCCACTTTTTTTGTGCAGGTTTTTTTGCCCCCTGGTGATACAGTATTATTAACATGCACAATCACTAGTGCTCTCAGTCCTAAATACAAAATGCTGTTCTTGTACACAAAATTGCAACATGTATTAAATTGCAGAAATAATATTTCTTCCCCTTCTTCTCAAAAAATGAACCTCTTGTCAAAATCATAAACTGTCCTGAAAATGTACATTTTGTAGAAAATATCTTTTGGGGATTTTCATTGAAAAAAATGTGGGGTTTTTTCCACTTAAATTTAATTTTCAACCACAAAAATGCAGGTTATCACAGTTTGAAAAGTTTTTGACAAAGAAAACAAAATACTGGAGAAAATATTGTAATAAAAATGAGAAGATAAAATGTCCCACCTTTTTTCTTGTTTTTGCCAGATGATAACACTTTCAGACTGCCTCAGGTTTCAGGGTCAGAATTATTTCTGCTATGATAGCACCTAGAGGCCTCAGCTGAGATTAATGTCTCCATTATGCAAGATGCTGTACATTCTCTAAACTCCCTGTCCTAAACAGCTTGTACTCTAAAAACAAGACAGAAAAGGTGTGAAGGAAAACAGGTGTAGAGTGTTCAAGAGCCAAATTATAGGTGTTATATCTTTCATTGTCTACCTCATGAACGGCGTGTGCGCCTGGTGGCTGGGGGGCCACGGCTGCGCTGGTGGCAGTGGGAGCATGGCAGCAGGGAGCTCCCACAGATGCTGCGACACTGTCAGCAGTGATGCGGGGGGCGGGGGGTGGCGGCAAGCACCAGTGGGCATTGACGACTGCCCACAGATGCTGCCAGCAGTGTTGGCAGTGGGTTGGCAAGTGCTGACTGCCCACAGGTACCGCTGACAGTGGCAGTGGCACCTGTTTGCAGGGGGTGCACTGCTATGCTCAGAGAATGCATGTGCACCCCATATGCATCGCTTCTGATCCACCTAATGAGATATATATAGGCTTCTACTGCCATTTTCAAAAAACCTTAACCCTAAAAGGATTTGCCACTGAGTCCACAGCAGGTAAGTATCAGAGAAGTAAACGGAGTCCAGTTCACAGCACTCCTTGCCTGGTGAACCATAATGCAAGTGTAACCTTGAGGTTATTTACTTGCAAGAGCAACCCTTGCTTGTCAAGTCAAAACCAAGGAAGCAATTGGCCAGAAATGATAGCTGGCAGGATGGATGATTTTTCTTTTTTTAATTTTTGGTTAGGAAAGCCAACTTATTCTGATCTAAAAATTAGAGTAATTGAAATGCCTAGAGGTTAATTCCCCTAGCAAATGTCAGATATCCAAATTGGATTTCAACTGAAACAGAAGATATATATTTTAAGTCTGCATGTTATTTCCAGATGTTACCTTAATTTGGTTCAGTTGCTATCGCCAACACCAAGTCAGATCAGTGGCTCAGACTTTCATAAGCCTAAAAAGATGCTCCTGGGTTTTTGAATTGGGTCCCTGCTATTGCAGTACATCATTATGTTCGTATTCAAAAGCTTTTATTAGACTTAATCTTCAAGCTAGTCTGGTGGTTTGTCCCCATTAAGGCTGCTCCAGAACTTCACTGTTCTAGTACAAAACCCTTGCTGTGAAAGCCAGTTTGCAAATCAAAATTTTCAACTTGTAATTTGAAGGCACCATCAAAAAGAAAACTCCTTGAGGTTGCCTTCTGTAAATCCTCAGCTTCTGTTTGTATGATGCAGTAAGGTATAAAGGTAAAGGACCCTGAGATCCTGATTACTGAAGAAAGCATTGTGTGGACAGATCCCAGTTTCATTTCAGTGGTGCCCTACAGGGTTAGAGATACACTGATGTCTTCATCTGGCAGGATTTGGTGTAAGTGAATAGTTTCAAGCAATGTATATTCCAAATGTAACAGGTAATAGAGATTATAACACATTTGCGTTAAGCAAACTTGATTTTTTTCACAGACTGTCAATCATTTTTTCTGCTTCTGATTGAAGTTATCAACCTTTATTGAAAATCTGAAGGTTTTTGTTTTAAAAACAAACATTCCCTGAACTTCAGCACAATTTTGCAACTTCAGTTCTTGGGAAAAATAATTAATAAATAATTAAAAATGATATGCATACATCATTTTTATGCCTTTCAAGGTTTTTTCCCCCAAATAATGTGCAAAGATGAGAAGAATTTTAAACTATACACAAAACCTAAAACACTTTTTGTGAATGGTATTGTACAAGATCTGTTGCAGCAGAGTACATTAAAATCCTAATATATGACTTACCATGGGATAGATTTTTTTCAGAGGTATGGAAGATCTGCAGTTACAACAGACAATGACAGGGCCATGATATAATTAGCTGCTTACAAACTTTGTTTAACTTCAAGTACCTGAATAAAACTGCAGTAAAACATTTTGGTAATGAAACATAAAATCAAAGTGACCAGTTACTGCCTTAAGCTAGTGAAGTGCTTAACCATCTTCCAGCATCTATAGCCTCATAGATGTTGTTGCTTTGAACTTCAAATATTGAGGACCTCTGCAAACACGTAGAAGATCCAACCCAGCTCTGAATATTTGCTGTTACCTAAACATGAAGGGAAAATAACATTAAATTATAAGTTAAAGAAAATTGGTACAGCATGATATACATTTGTTTGGTCAGTCTCTCTGCTGATTTTTTATGACTATCAACAGGATTTATGTGAGCAAAATGAAACTACCTTCCTTATCCTACTCCACTGCTCATGCATAGAAGAGAGACAGACAATGACGCTCTGCATTTTCAGCTATACAAACTGTGTTTTCCCCCATCCAGTTGCTGCCTGCAACTCGAGTCACATTACACTTACACAAGAACGGGATTACATTCTACTAAAGGGGCAGGGATTAAGCCAAAAGGGGTGGAACCACTTTCAAAGGAGCAACTTCAACACAGAGGGCCAAATTCTCCTCTCAATTACACACAAGCTGCTGCCACAAAGACTTCAATAGGGATATTCAGGTGTAACGGAGAGCACAGAGGCTTTGTGAAAGGTGCAGATGTGACAAATTCTAGTGCATGGCCACTCAGATCTGTCATTTTTAAACAGCCACTCTATTGTGGGTAGCAACAAAACATCTAAGCAGGGAACCATTGTGTTTCACTCAGATATACTTTCATTTCACATGGACCCACTTTCACCTCCCTGTAATTACTGTAAAAAGTTTTAAAACCACAAATTTAAGAGATGGAAATACATTAAATAGTGATTTGGAAACATCTTTAATTTTAAATTTACCAACGTGCTAAGTATTTGTCTGAACTCTGTCCCCATTGTATCTGAGCAGAGTTAAGATTTGTCTTTATATAGTTTTGTATCCTTCAGTTTTAATCTTAACAAAACAGTGTGTTACCTTTCCTCTTTAGAGGTTGGAAAGCTGACCTTATTTTCTATATGTTTATGTTGTAAATACATTTGTATTATACTAGCAAGCTTAAATACAAAGAATTCTGATACTAAAGAGAGAAAAAGCTATACCTGAGTTACAATATGGAGGATGTTATGCCTTTCCTCTTTCAAAATAGACAATATAGAGGTTCTGGTAAATACACTCGTGTTTGTATAAGGATGAATATGTAACACACTTACATTGTCCCATGATAAACTCTTGATGCGAACAAACATATCACAGTGCTAATAAATGTCTCACAGGTGGCTCTGGTACAGTCAAATCTGCCCAAACCACCAGAAAAGCAGATGGATGGCTAGAACGTCTCTGTCAAGCTATACTCCTCCTAGGTTCAGCTCATTTGATTTGGAAGATACCAGCACATGCACAGTTATATAGAGATAAACTGTTGTTACACACCCACGCACACAATGCTTAGTAGAAGAAGCATGTGATCAGTGGTGCAGCTGCCTGTCATCTGAGAACCTGGAGCTTTGACTCTGCTGCTAGGAACCCCAAAGACCCTAGTTGGAGAGTATCCTACTACGTCATAAATTATGTTTCAGTCTATTGTGCACTTCAACTTAAAAGTTAATCTAGCAATAAAGGAGGGATTTGGTCTAAATGGAAAGTATAAATGTATATAACCCCCTGTAAACCTAGAGTTACAACTATTTTACCCCATACAGGGAATCCCATTGCATTTTTTAAGAAATGGATTTCATTGCTTTAGTTTCATCCCTGTAGCCAAGTGCTGTGGCCTGCAAAGGTTAGAAGGAGAGCAGGAGAAAGCCAGGCAGATACTGCTGTACCTGCCGTCTGTGCCGGAGCTCCAGTGAGGGAGCAGAAGGCAGGGGCAGGCAGCCCAGCTGGGCTGGAGTAGAGGGTGGAGCCCCACCCAGAGTTGCAAAGCATTTGGGATGCTGGGGGACTCTCGTTTAATTTTAATCAGGAAGAGTTCTGGGACAGACACTGCCGAAACCAGTTTGAGCCAGATCAGGCAAACCTGGTTGAATGTATTATCAGACTTATCTCAAACTGGTTTCAGCCATTTTCAAACTGGTTTATGTGAACAGAACATCCGTTCTGTTACAAGTTTAAACCAGTTTCTGATCACTTAAACTGGTTTATGTGTAATGTTTGTCCCTAACTGAAAAGTCAAGATTTAACTAAGGAAAAGAGCAAAAGGTGGAAGGAGAAAAACTGTATGTCCAGCAAGATACTCAGTTAGACTCTTCTAAAGTATTTACATGGGATTTTTAACATTTATACCCTGTTCAGGTGTCATTTCTGTCATATAACTGTACACATCCAGCTATCACTTCCCATGCTGAAGGAGAAGGTACTCTTCATCCATCTGCATCCCCAAAAGATGACCTTGGGTTTACTGACTACTTATCGCCATATTTTATGTATTTTTTGTGTGACAGTTCCATAAAGATAGCCTTCTACCTAGCAATAAACACATTTACAAACCCCTCAGTTGAGCCAGAGTATCCGGTCATCCACCCCATACTAATTAACACAGATGCACCTAATGGCCAAGTCAAACATAAGGAGTTGAAGATACCAGAGTCCTGCAGGTGTTGGTTATCTTCTTGTGGTTGCTTAGCAGGCTCAGCTGAGAGTCAAGGGAGCTGACATTCCATTAAAAAGTTATGCAGCTTCCACTTTTTGATACACACATGCTCTGAAATTGTGAAAGTCCTACTGGAACCTGCCCTTTACATAACCTTCCTTATCCTTTTCTCCATCCAGCTATGAATCCTTCAACTCTGCAAAAGTCTACAGAATCTGTAACTATTGACATTGGGAGCTTTTGTAATGCTGTTGAAAGAGAAACAGGTAGTACTGGGACCACACTACCCAACAGCTAGCCTCTCTGGAGTGGGACTTCACCTAACTTCATCTACCAACTCCTTACAGCTGCTGCTAAATCTTATTCCTGAAGAATGCTGAAGACTTGTCATTCCCTGTGGGAAAATCTGTGGAAGTCTTCATCCTAGAGATCCTGGGAGAATAAGAATGGAACCAGGAATTTTACAAAGAAAAGCAAGGAATCCTTTTAACCTTCTCCCTCCCAGTTTGTGGAGCCACCTTAAACTGTCGTTCATTTTTGCTATGACCTAAGATGAATTCAGACTTTACCCTCCACAAGCAGAATGCTACTCCATTAACTAAAACAGATCGACTGTTCACTAATACCTTTTTCAATACTCAATTGGTTAGTCTGGAAAAAATAACATGGGAAATATAGGAATTCAATTCATATTTATCAAATACAGAGCCAGATGAAAAATGGATAAATGTATTTGCAAATTACGTATTTGCCAAGTGGCAAGGAAAAGTCATCATCAAGTAAATCATTTTTCAAATATTATTTGATTAGCACTAATGCTAACCTAGTCTTGCATGGCTGTCATTAAAATTTACCATACCTGCCTGCCCTTTACCATGGTGATTAATGATAATGAAAAAATCTAATAATATTTTACTACCCTGTCAAGGGAAAAAAAAAATACTTGCCCAGGGCAAGTAGGTGAGCAAAAATCTGCAAGGCTGACTTAAACTCATAAATATCAATGATTAACAAAGTGTCCTCTTTATGATGTATCGTTTATTGAACTTGCTATAGTTCTGGTCACTATTCACCTGATCACATACTACTGAAGTCCAACTGGAATTTTCCAGTTAAGTTATATGAGACTAGCCTCAGAGTATTATGACCTCATCCTAAAAGGTTCTGAGATATTTCTGGGAATCCTCAGTTCCCACAGAAATTAGCAAGGGGAGAGAGTTTACAGTACTTTACAGAGAGTGTACAATACCTGCCTTTTTGTACTCTTATTTACAGAAATGTCTTAGTATTTTCTACAATTATTTCTAAGAATAGCTCATTGTAACAGAAAAACACTGATTCACAGCAGAAATCTAAGTCAAGTTTTCCTTTCTTTCCTTAGGATAGGGCTATGGTACATAAGAATCCTAGGCCCCACACTGCATGGTTCTGGCTGCAATTGCCAAGTTGCTTGAGTGGGGGGAGGGTGAGCGGAGCCCATCTGCTGTAAGCCCCCCTACAGCTGGCTGGCTTGGGGTTCAGGAGGGGTGGGCCAGAGCCACACAGCAGGGGGTCCTATTCACCCACCCCCCTACCCAAGTGACATAGCAGCTGCAGTCTGCAGACCAGGCTAGCTTTGGCTTTTCACTGCACTAAGAACTGGGGCAGGGTGTGGGGGAGGGCAGGGGAGAGAGGGAGGCCACCTGCCACAAGGGCTCCCCCACAGCTTGATAGCTGGGGAGTCAGGGGAGTCAGCCCAGATCTCCACAGCATGGGGGCTCCATTCCCCTCCCCACCCATCCCCATTTCCTGACAGTGAAACACAGGGCCAGACTGCTGCAGATGCTGTAGTTAAGAGGTGGGAGGGGTGGTGTGGAGAAAGAGATCTCCTGCACCATGAATACCTGCCACAGTTTGGTAGCTGGGGTCTTTGTGGGGCTGGGCCAGGTCCATGTAACAGGGTCCATGATGTTCCCTCCCCTCGGCCCTGGTTTCTGGCATGGGGAAATGCCAGGTCAAGCTGCCCCTCCTGCAGCTGCTACTGTCAAAAGAGTCTTGGGTGGGGAGGGAAGTGATCTCCCCCACCAAGATCCCAGCTAGCAAGCTGTGGGGGGTCCTTCTTGGTGGGAAGCCCCCTTCCTCCCTGCCCAAGCCTCTTGATAGCAGCAGGCAACAGCTGCAGCAGAGCTGCCCAGCCCCACATTTGCTGTTCCAGGAACTGGCTGCCACTGTCAAGAGACTTGGGTGGCGGGAGGGGGAATGGAGCCCCCCAAAAACCCCAGCCAGCAAGCTCTGGGACGGCTCTCAAGCCGGGGCGAAGAGGAGGGCCCTTTCCACCATACCTCAGCATCTTGACAGCGGCAACCAGCATCTGCAGGAGGGGCAGTCTGGCCCAGCATTTCCCTTCAGGGGACTGGAGCTGGATGGAGGAAGCCACCCCCCACTACAGGAACCTAGCGCAGACCCTCCAAAGTCCCCAGCTAGCCAACTGCAGGGAGTTGACTGTCACCAGCTGGTGGTGGGGTGGGGCTGGGGTGGGTGCTCCTGCAGCCTCCTAGAAGGCATGAGGGAGTGCCTGCTGCCTCCTGGCATTGGCC